ACAAGGGAAAGACAACAGAAGAATAAGTAAGGCAAACCAGTGAGCATAGGAAAAAAAAGAGGTCACGTGGGTTTCTGCTTGGACTTTTTCCTTCTTGCCACAAGAGGGTGTATTTCACTACAGTTACAGTAAAACAGGCTTTTACAGAAGCCTTGACTGTCTATGTAAATCTCATGTTTTCAAGTCGCATGGCTTTCAACCTTAACAGACACAGCACTTATTATAGCCTGTGCTGATAGATCCTGAACTCCACTTGCCCTGTATGCATGCCTGCCAAGTGATTACTCGCATTTATTAGGAGATACTATTTTTCTCCCTCCTCCATTCTCTTCCCCTGACTCGTTCACTTCTCTCAAGAGCCCCTCCATGAAAACACTTTTCTAGTCTCACGAGGAGAAGTCAAATAACTCTTCCAGGAATACACACGTTATAGTTTGTCTTTCCTCAAGGATTCCTGAGCTCCTCTTTCTACTATCCCTGATATGAAAAAGTAGGGACGGAAGGAAAGTGATCAGAATTAGCAGGACAGAGTTGTTTCTGTGTTAGAGCACAGGGCAAAAGACGGTAGACAGCCCAAAAGATTCCCAAGTAAAAGGGGGTAATGCACCTATTGGTGCCTTGGATCTAAACATCTGGGATTCTGCAATACTTACTGAAGTATTTTTGGTTAATGCTTCACATTCAAAAATCCCAGCTTTCTCAGGATTTGGACCAAAATAGGGAACTAGCAAAAGCAAAGGCATTCCACAGCTTTTTTTTTTTCTGCTTTAAACTTCATTTGAAACAAGAAAGAAAGCTTTTCTGCAAATTTAACCAGACATGAAGTAATGAAACTTGTACCAACAGATCAGAGGAAACGTAAGTATTCATCAGCTGTTGTGTTTAGAAACGGGAACAAATACTGAATTATGGCACAAGCAAAACCTGCAAGGAAAAGCACATACTTTCAGAATGAAAAGCTAAACTAAGACAAATTCCTGTAACATTTAAATTAAGTCAAACCAAGCCTCAAGCAGTTAGTGCCAGGGCCTTAACAGCATGACAGAAGTATGAAGCATTCAGCAACAATTACTTAAGTGCCAGCACTGACACCTGAATCTTGAGCTTGTAACAAAACCAGTATGATTTCCGGAGAGTGCCTACTAAAAAAAGGCCAGTCTCAAGGCAACTCAAAAGCAGGTTTTTTTGCGTAAGAAAATTAACATGCAGAAGTAAATGCACTGCAAGTTAGAATATGGTCCTAGTATATAGTTTGCTCTCTTTAATTTTCTTTTTTTTTTTTGCATTAGGAGTAAAGATAAGCTATATGGAGCCAAAATTGAGATGTTCTCCTGAGAAGAACAGACAGAACAGGTTATCTTTAAGTGATTTCCCCAGGTTATCATAATTTTAAAAGATAATGTGTATCATTACAGTTACATTAATCACCACAACACAGCATGATAGCTCATTTACATGCAGTGTCAATTTATAGCATGCTTATCTAAATCAGTAGCCTCTGGGTGGCTAATGTTTATAAGCCTCTAAGGGAGAACTGAAGGCAACAAGTTCTTCCATGCATGAACTGCCCAGCTGTACGTTAGAGATTTTGACAGCCTCCACACAAAGCTGGGAATACGCTATATCAAATCTGGAACGAATATTTTTTCTCAGATAGGCATAAGGTAGCTATTTAGTATTTATCCCTGGGCCCAAGCAGCATGCCAAAATTCCTTGGGCTAGATAGCTGAATCATTTCTCTTCCGACCTCTGTTGGATCATCAAGCCAAAGGACATCCCTGCCAGCCTGCGTATACAGTCCCTGACGATTCCTCTCCCATAGCCAACACAAATTACTATTGATCAATACTGACTTTGGTCTTCCACTGATTAGGAACGCCTCCAAGCCCAGATGATATTTTTGTAAAGCACTCCAGAACTCCAATATTCTGGAAAGTTGTATCATGACAGATCTCCCCTATTACATCCTCAAAGACATCTGCATGCTGTCCTCTATGACTGTCCCTTTCAGATACACACACCAAACTGGACGTAGAAAAGCACATCGCCACTCCCCCACTATGCAGAATTTGGACACCCACGTGCCAGAAACCAATTTAACAAATCGGTAAAAACTACCCATTAGCATTAAATCTAAAATTTCCAAGATCAAGCTGGAAATGCCAAAATGATAGATTTTTAAATTGGAGATGCCCAGACACCTCAAAGCTCCACGTCACTGTGTCAGTCAGGCACATCTCCAATTAGAAGCAAGACAAGAAAAACTTTTCCAGCCAATTAAAAGTCACTGCCAATTCATTAAAAAAAAAAAAAAAAAGGAAAGGGAAGGCTGTTCTGATAGCCCCCCCCAAAGAATGAGCTGCAAGTTCTGAACAGATCTGATGACTGGTACCTGGCAATCCCCAACTACAAAACTATGAATATACAGTTGAAAGCAACAAGCTTCAAGAAAGCTCTGATTTTATCACCACATTTATGTTTGAAATAACTTTTTAGAAAAGAAAGTACTAAGAGGGCTTTTCCAGCCAATTAAAAGTCCCTGCCAATTCATTAAAAAAAAAAAAAAAGGATAGGGAAGGCTGTTCTGATAGCCCCCCCCAAAGAATGAGCTGCAAGTTCTGAACAGATCTGATGACTGGTACCTGGCAATCCCCAACTACAAAACTATGAATATACAGTTGAAAGCAACAAGCTTCAAGAAAGCTCTGATTTTATCACCACATTTATGTTTGAAATAACTTTTTAGAAAAGAAAGTACTAAGAGGCTTAAGCCTGAAGTCAGGAATAAATGTTTTGAGAAGTCCTCTCTTTGTCGCTCACTGGAGCAGCTATAAAAATGACAACGCTGTAACAGAAACATTCACAAATTCAATTTCAGCTCAGCACTCCTACTCTGTGCTGTTTGAAACAAAGATTTTATCACTAATAGTTTTCCTAAATGGAGCCTGAAATGAAAACAAACATACACACAGGGGTGCTTAATACATTAGCTATATAAAAACAGGATAAGTGAATACCCAATTAGCTTACAGGGAACACCTGTTCTTCTGTTACCAGTATGTGGAACCATCCAAATAAACCCCATGTATATATGAAATTGAAACCGAGTATCAAGGCATACACAATCCTTAAACTACTGTGCATATGAACAACATACAGTAATAATAAAAATGCAATTAAGCCATGACATGAAACCATGCTAACTGGGAGACAATAATGGCCCCTGGAATAGACACTGCACTTGTCCTTCTGACATATATCTGCACATGTCTTTTTTTTTAAATATTGTTTACAGATTTACACATTTTAAGGGCCTGAAGTGACTACTGAGGTCACTCAGACATAATCTCTCTATAGAATTCATTGAATTATTCCCAGAAGTTTGACTAAAGTACATCTTACAAAAAGAAATATCTAGTTTTATCTGAAAAGATTATAAATGATTCCACCAGCTCTCTTCTAAAGTTTTACTACTAATTTAACTACAGCACTGCTTCTGATATCAAGGCTGAATCTGCCTGGTTCCCCATCGGTTCTCATCAAACCATCAGATCTCTTCTACATCTATATATATATATTTGCATATGCAGTACCTATTTATATATAGGTATTTTTATATAGACATGACACCTCTCAACCTCTGTGCTGCTAAATGGAAAGACAGAGCTTCTGAAACCAGGCAGTTGTTGGTTTCTTTGTTTGTTTTTAATCCTGTGATTATTTTTGCTTCCTTCCTTTGAGCTCCCCCCTGTGCACAAGTGTACTGGGGTATGTTTAAAAAGCCAGATCATCTC